CGCCGGGCCCCGCGGCGCTGCGCTGCGCGCTGCTGTGCGCGCTGCTGAGCGCGCACGGAGCCGCTCCCACCCGCGCAGGTACGGCCGGGGGCGCGGGGGGCAGCTCGGGCCTTCGCAGCTTTGGGGCACCTGAACTTTTCTGCGCGGGTTGGTTTTTTCCCAGGGGTTCTCTCGCCCCCAAGGGACTCGGTGGCCAGACCTTGGTGCGGGGGAGAGGGACCCCTGCTCCCGCTGCCAGCCGTGCTCGGGGGGCTGGGACCCCCGGGGACCCCCCTGGGCTGTAGCGGGATGAGCGGCGTGCAAACTCCTCCCTAAAAAGTGTGGGGATCTGGTGGGCCGTGGCGGGGATCGGAGCCGTCCCCCCCTTCCCGAGGAGCTGCAACTCCGGGCATTAATTATGCAAAGCCCGGGCGTCCTCCTGCTCCCCCTCTGCCATCCCCGGCTGCTGCAGGGACACGATTCCACCCTGGCTCACCCCGGCGGACCCACGCGTGTTCCCGGAGCACCCCGGGAGAGGGGCTGCCCTCAGCCGCCCCCTCCCTTCCTTCCTCCCTCCCTTCCTCCCTCCCCACACCTGACGGCAGGAGCGGGAGCTGACAGCGTTGGGCTCAAACGTCTGTTCCTGCGCCTGCCGCGATAAAAATAAATTATAAACCTGCCTAAACCCTTGCGAACAAAGTCCTACTTTCCCATTGGCTCCCGGCAGGTCTCCAAATGCTGGAAGGGGGGGCCAGCGGCGTGCCCACCTCCCCTCCCGTAGCCATGGCGATGGGGCCGCAGCATCTCCACTTCCTGCCTTGCGCCACCAGTTTCCCCCTTGGCTTTTCCTGGGAAAGAAGGGAAGGGGCTTTTCTCCCCGCCGCGCATGGGTTTGGGGTACCCTGAAAGCCGGGGGGCTGCAGCGGTGGCTCCAAAGGGTGCCACCCGTGCCCTGGGGAGCCCAGCCCGGGGGAGGCAGCCCGGGGGAGGCAGCCCGGGGGACCCCAGCCCGCAGAGCCCCCCGAGCCCTGCCGGGAGGGTTTGCCCGGAGGAGCGCACCCGGCGGGGAGCGGCTCCCGGCTCTCTCCCGGGATGGAGCAGAGGCGGCGCGGGCAGGGCTCCCTCGGCAGCCAGAGCTGTGAATTAATGATGAGCGTGTGGGGAAGAGCAGCTCCGGGGGGACTCACGCCCCAGCGGCCGACGGGAACGGGGGTCCCGCGGGGTGGGCTGGGGGCACAGGGGCGGCACCGCTCGGGTAACCCCGACCAGGCTGCTGCTGCCTCATCTCGGTTCATCCTCCACCAAAGGATCCCTGGCCGGGGCCAGGGGTGTTTCCTGCCTTGTGGGTGATGGGGGAGCCCTGTGTGAGCTGGGGGTGCTGGCAGCTGGGGGTGTCCCCTCGCTGGGGGCTAGTGATGCTGTCCCCATCGGGACCTGCTGGGTTTGGTGTAAGGGACGTGCTTCAATCCTGCTGCTGCTTCATCAGAATGGCCCCTCCCTGGGGCTGGGGGTGCAGCCCCCTCCCCAGTGCCGCAGGGGTTGGTGCTGGCCCTGCCCTCACCCCTTTGCCCGGCTTTGGCAGGAGAGTGTGGCAAGCTGAGGTCCTGCGAGGCGTGCACAGCCAGCAGCCGCCCCCACAACGGCACCGACTGCGTCTGGGCGGGCTGCGGGACCCCCGAGGAGCCAGGTGAGGGGCTGGGCTGGGTGGGCACAGAGAGGGGCTCTCATCAGCCCTCCCCAGCCCCGTCACTGGCTCTCAGCACCCTCACATGCCCAGTCCCAGCCGCTTTCACCATCAAGACCCATCTCAAAGCACCTGCCGGGGGCTCTGCCCTGCGTGGTGCAGCTCTGAGCCCCCACTCCCAGACCCTCAGGTGGTTGCCCACCCCTGGCAGTGAAACCTCCTCATCCCAGCCCCTCAGGTGCCCAGGGCAGCCCTGGGCCTGCCCAGCACTGGCTGCCCTGCTTTGGGATCCTCGGGAAAACTCTGCTGCTCTTCCCGCAGGAGCGGGGAGCTGCGTGCAGCGAGGCTCAGCAGCGCCGGGGAGCTGCGCCCTCTACAACAGCAGCGCCCTGTGCCGAGGTAACCCCGAGCCCAGAGCCCCCAGACCCTCTGAACTTGGACAGAGGTGCTGCTGCGGGAGCCAGGGCCGTAGGGATGGAATCCCACTGGGACAGGGACAGGTTCAGGATGTGTGGCAGTGTCCCCTGTCACCCCTTTTACCCCTTCCCTCTGTGCCTGCCTTCCCCAGCGCTGAAGTCCCACACGGAAGAACCTCCACGATCCCCCAGCAAGGAGCCAGTGACACACTCCACAAGTGAGTGGGTCTGGGGAGGGGTGGGAGGCCGTGGGACGGGGGCCTGGATGCCCCAGGGACCAGGGGCTCGTCCCAACAAGGCTCTTCCCTCTCTGGTTCGCATCCCTTTGGGAGGGACGAGCGGAGCTGACCGCGGTGTTGGGCCAGTGGATGCGCCTGCTGTCCCAGGTCACAGCCCTGCCCCTGTCCCCCCTCTCTGCACGGGGCAAAGCAGTGGCTCATGGGCCCACCAGCCCTCCAGGAACAAGCCCTGATTCCATCCTTGCTGGGAATTGCCACCTCCAGCCTGGCTGGGAGTGGAGCAGGAGCCTCTTCCAGGAAGGGGGAACTGGAGAGCGCAGCAGGAAACCTGAGCCCGGAGCCTGCTGAATTATTGATCCCCTGGGATCTTCTTGCTGCTGGCTCCTTTCCTGCAGCTCCAGCTGCCCCGGCATGGCAAGGGGCTGAGCCCACCCCAGCAGCCACGCGCTGGTGGGGACAGCCCAGCCCCACGCTGGGAGCTGCCATTCCTCCTCTGGCTTCTTCAGCACCCAAATCCCCTCTCTTGGGTGGGCACACCCGCACTCAGGGGTGCCAGCAGCACTCGTGACTCCCCAAACTCCCCTTTTCCCCGGCCCCAGGGACCACCACGAGTGCCCCTCTGACGGGCAGCCCCGAGTTCCACCCGCCCGGCTTCGACACGGCCAGCTTTGTGGGGGGCATGGTGCTGGTGCTGTGCGTGCAGGCCGTCGCCTTCTTCGTCATCAAGTTCATCAAGTCCAAGGACAGCACCTACCAAACGCTGTAAGGGAGCCGGGGGGGGACCCGGGCCAAGCCCACCCTGAGTCAGGACTGGGGTCGCCCCGGGCTGTGTCCTGTCCCCCCGCTGTGCTGTGCCCCTCTGTGCCAGTCTGTCCCCACGCCGCAGGGAACGATTTGGGACATGGAAGGGCTCATGTCCCCCTGCCGGTCCCCCTGTGGCTGTCCGGCTGTCCTGCCCCCTCTGTCTGTCGCTGTCTGTTGGGGTCCTGGCTCTGATGGGATCGGGAGGGTGCCAGGTGTGTCCCCCAGCAGTGCCAGGAGCTGCTCGCTGCTGTCCCCATGCCCCGGGGTCGGGAGGGTCCCAGGTGTGTCCCCCAGAGTGCCAGGAGCTGCTCGCTGCTGTCCTCACTCCCCGGGGTCGGGAGGTCCCAGGTGTCCCCCAGAGCTGCCAGGGGCTGCTCGCTGCTGTCCCCATGCCCCGGGGTCGGGAGGGTCCCAGGTGTGTCCCCCAGAGTGCCAGGGGCTGCTCGCTGCTGTCCCCACACCCCGGGGTCGGGAGGGTCCCAGGTGTCCCCCAGAGTGCCAGGAGCTGCTCGCTGCTGTCCCCACTCCCCGGGGTCGCCGTGTCTGATGTGGGCACCGTGCCCCCTCTCTCTTTCCTTCCACGCTGCCAGAGAGGACAACCAGTAGGTTCTGGGTGCCGGGGGTGGGCAGGGGGTGTCCCCCCGCACCCCCAGAGCTCCAGCCCTGCTCGCAGCCCCCCGGGCCCTCCCTGCTGGTTTGCATGGCGGGTGTTTCCCAGCTGGTTTTGCCGTTTCCTGTCCGTTGTTAGCGAGGGAAAGGAAGGGGGTCCCCCCCTCGCCCCCTTTCTGGGGGGCAACCCCCCCATACAGCCCCTTCTGCCACCCGGGTGAGGTGTCCCCAGTGCCCCCAGCCTCGCCCTGAGCCTCCGTGACAGCACGGGGACGGCAGGGCTCCCACTTTGGCCCCAGTCTGGCCCCAGTCTGGCCCCAGTTTGGCCCCAGCAGCCCCCTTCCCACTCTCGGCACCCCCTGCCCCACTGCCTCCCCACAGCCTTGGGGCTGGTGGGCCCGGGGGGGGTCCCCCCTTCCCCTCATGGGCCCCTGGGTGCTTTTCCCTGTGGCATCGTGGCTGCAGCGCCCAGCCGTGCCCCCCGTGCCCCCCGTGCCCGCCCCAGGAGCGGAGCCAGGGCCTCGCTGTGTGCTTTTGCTGTGCCTCTGTGTGCTCTGGGGGGGCTTGGGGGGGCCCTCTCCCCCACCCTCTTTCTGTGTGCTGTTTTGGGGAGGGGGCTGCGTGTCGTGTGCCGTGGGGTGACACTTGTAGCTCGGGCTGCCCCCATTAAACTCTGCCAGGTGGAGTCTGTGCTGTGTCCGGGGGTCGCTGTGGCTGGGGGGGTTCAGGGGCTCCCCCCCTCCAGTGCAGTCCAGCCCCCCCCCGTGGCATGGGTGGGCACTGGGACACCCCCAGCACCCCCTCCCTGGGCGCTGCGAGGGGCTGGGACCCCCAGGGTGAAGCCCCCAGGGCCTGTCCTGCTACGTGTCCTCTCTGTCCCACGCCCCAGGATCTGAGGTCCCTCCAGGCTGGGGGCGCTGTCCCCCCCCCAGGTGAAGAGGCCACCGCTGGTGTCCCCCTGCCCCGGCCGGACTGTCCCCCCTGCACAGCCCCCCCACGACTATGCAAACTGGGGACACCAGGGTGGGACGGACCCTCCAGCCCCGGCCCCCCCGGCTGCTCCCAGGGGAGGCAGCTGGGCAGGGGGGCCCCTCCAGCCCTGAATTCCACCTGCAGCCCCCCACCCTGTGCTGGCCAGACCCCCAGGGCACCCCGGGACCAGAGGACACAGGTCCCTGGGGGGCACTGGGGGACACTGCTGGCCCCACAGTGGGCAGAGCCCGAGCTGGAGAGGGGGGACAGAGACAAATAAAGGATTTTCCTGTAATTTCTGGTGTCTGTGTCATTGTCACAGCTCCTGTCACAGCTGCTGTCACCCCCAGCCCCAGCAGTGGGGCTGAACTGGGACATCCTGGCTGCAGAAAACCTTCGGGGGTTTGGTGCTCTGCCCCCAGGGTGGGGCTGGTGGGCGGCCCAGTCCTCCCAGTGTGGGTGTCCAGGGGACAGGGCAGCCCAGTGAGGGGTACCCCAGCAAGAAAAGGGGCATCAGTGCCCCCCAGCCCCAGGCTGTGCCAGGGCCACCCCCGGGGCTGGAAGGATGGGGATGGAGGGCACGGCCCCACACTGGGAGCAGCAGCTCCAGCCCCACAGCCGAGGGAGAGGTCAGGGTGTGCTGGCCAGGGCAACGAACAGCCAGCAGCAATAAAAATCTGCCAGATGTGCCCTCGGGTGCCACTTCATTGCTGCCGGAAGGGAGGGCACACACCCAGCGTGTGCGACACGGTGACCCCGCGGGTGGCACAGCTGTGGCACAGCTGCCCTGGGGGCTACGCCCGGGGGACCAGGTTGGTCCGCAGGGGCAGCAGCGCCTCCACCCAGCGCCGGGGCTGCTCCAGCAGCTGCTTCCACACGCGCTGCTCCTCGGCCGTGGAGTCCATCCAGCCCACGGGCAGCCCATAGCTGCTCCCTGCGGGGGGACACCCGGTGAGCCCGGGATGGGGACAGCTGGGGGCTAGGGACACCCGGGGGATGGGGACAGCCGGGGGGACTGGGGACACCCCGGGGGATGGGGACACCTGGGGGAAGGGGACAGCCGGGGGGATGGGGATAGCCGGGGGCTAGGGACACCTGGGGGAAGGGGACAGCCGGGGGCTGGGGACACCCGGTGAGCCCGGGATGGGGACAGCCAGGGGGATGGGGACACACCCGGGAAGGGGACAGCCGGGGGCTGGGGACAGCCGGGGGATGGGGACAGCCTGGAGGGACTGAGGACACCTGGGGGATGGGGACAGCTGCGGGGATGGGGACACCTGGGGGATGGGGACATCTGGGGGATGGGGACACCCCAGGGGCAGAGGCCACCCCGGGGGCTGGGGCCACCCCGGGGCCGGGCCCTGCTCTCACCGGTGCCCAGGCTGAGGCGGATGCCGCCCAGCTGGCGCTTGGCGAAGGCCTCGCGGTGCCAGAGGGTGAACTCGGCGCAGGCCTCGGCCAGGTCCCTGGCCTGGAAGCCGTCGTACACCATGGTGTGGTTGAACAGGGGGCTCAGGCTCCTCCGCACCACCCGCGTCTTCTGCCGGCTTGCCTTGCTGTCGTCCGGCAGCACGTAGCTGGGGTGGCACAGGGTGAGGGGGAGCCCCGGCCGCCCCCGTGGGCGTCCCCCCTGTCACCCCCACCCTTACCACTGCACGAAGGCGTCCACGGTGCCGCCGTGCAGCGGGACGAGGCTCTGAGCGTCCTTCACCCAGATGTGCAGCTCGCCCGTGGGTGGCATCCCCCCTCCTGCGGGCCACAAGGGTCAGGGGCACCCTGGCACGCCGGCCCCCGCCGCCCGCGGCCCCTCTCACCTTCCGAGCCGCCGGGGATGAACTTGAGGGCCAGGTTGAGGCTGCCGCGGCTGGCGAGGCCGTCCGAGGGCACGGGCATCTGAGGAGCATGGGGGTTACGGGGGCAGCGCACAAACAGGGGGCTGGGGAGGAGGGGAGCTCACCCGTGGCTGCAGGCTGAACCACTCGGGCCGCGTGTTGGCCCAGTCCCAGGTGCCCAGGGCCACCTCCACCTCCCCCAGGAAGAGGTTCCTGCCCAGGCTGTCGTGGTGCCACACGGACAGGTTCAGGGTCCGGCCCTGCAGGTCCCTCTTCTCCAGCTTGTACTGGTGGGGAGGGGACACGGGGTGAGATCAGCCACCCCCACCCACCCAGTCTGAACCTCCAAACCCACCCGAAGGGGGCTTAGAAACCTTGAGGGTTTCGTTGAAGACAGGATCCAAGCTCCTCTTCCTCACGGCGGTCTTGCGCTTGCTGCGGTTGGACTTGTCGGGCAGCAGGTAGGTCTTGATGTACCTGGGGCCAGAAACCGAGCTGGGGCGGGGGCCAGGGGCACCCCTGGGCAGCGCCCCCGAGGGCCGGGCACTCACGGGTCCGAGCGCTGCTTCTTGGCCTCGGCCAGCTGCCGGCAGCGCAGGACGTGCACCTGCAGCTCCTGCTGGGCCGCGTGGTAGCGCAGCGAGAACTGCACGCAGCCGCGCACGGCCACGCGGCCCAGCTCGGCCTCGCTGTACAGGCTCAGCAGGCTCCCGCTCAGCTGGGGACACAGCAGGGCTGCTGGGGGTGCCCAAAGACAGCCCAAACCAGCCCAAACCAGCCCTAAACAGCCCAAACCAGCACAAACCAGCCCAAACCCAGCCCTTAAACAGCCCAAACCATTGCTGCCGGAAGGGAGGGCACACACCCAGCGTGTGCGACACGGTGACCCCGCGGGTGGCACAGCTGTGGCACAGCTGCCCTGGGGGCTACGCCCGGGGGGCCAGGTTGGTCCGCAGGGGCAGCAGCGCCTCCACCCAGCGCCGGGGCTGCTCCAGCAGCTGCTTCCACACGCGCTGCTCCTCGGCCGTGGAGTCCATCCAGCCCACGGGCAGCCCGTAGCTGCTCCCTGCGGGGGGACACCCGGTGAGCCCGGGATGGGGACAGCTGGGGGCTAGGGACACCCGGGGGATGGGGACAGCCGGGGGGACTGGGGACACCCCGGGGGATGGGGACACCTGGGGGAAGGGGACAGCCGGGGGGATGGGGATAGCCGGGGGCTAGGGACACCTGGGGGAAGGGGACAGCCGGGGGCTGGGGACACCCGGTGAGCCCGGGATGGGGACAGCCAGGGGGATGGGGACACACCCGGGAAGGGGACAGCCGGGGGCTGGGGACAGCCGGGGGATGGGGACAGCCTGGAGGGACTGAGGACACCTGGGGGATGGGGACAGCTGCGGGGATGGGGACACCTGGGGGATGGGGACATCTGGGGGATGGGGACACCCCAGGGGCAGAGGCCACCCCGGGGGCTGGGGCCACCCCGGGGCCGGGCCCTGCTCTCACCGGTGCCCAGGCTGAGGCGGATGCCGCCCAGCTGGCGCTTGGCGAAGGCCTCGCGGTGCCAGAGGGTGAACTCGGCGCAGGCCTCGGCCAGGTCCCTGGCCTGGAAGCCGTCGTACACCATGGTGTGGTTGAACAGGGGGCTCAGGCTCCTCCGCACCACCCGCGTCTTCTGCCGGCTTGCCTTGCTGTCGTCCGGCAGCACGTAGCTGGGGTGGCACAGGGTGAGGGGGAGCCCCGGCCGCCCCCGTGGGCGTCCCCCCTGTCACCCCCGGCCTTACCACTGCACGAAGGCGTCCACGGTGCCGCCGTGCAGCGGGACGAGGCTCTGAGCGTCCTTCACCCAGATGTGCAGCTCGCCCGTGGGTGGCATCCCCCCTCCTGCGGGCCACAAGGGTCAGGGGCACCCTGGCACGCCGGCCCCCGCCGCCCGCGGCCCCTCTCACCTTCCGAGCCGCCGGGGATGAACTTGAGCGCCAGGTTGAGGCTGCCGCGGCTGGCGAGGCCGTCCGAGGGCACGGGCATCTGAGGAGCAGGGGGGTTACGGGGGCAGCGCACAAACAGGGGGCTGGGGAGGAGGGGAGCTCACCCGTGGCTGCAGGCTGAACCACTCGGGCCGCGTGTTGGCCCAGTCCCAGGTGCCCAGGGCCACCTCCACCTCCCCCAGGAAGAGGTTCCTGCCCAGGCTGTCGTGGTGCCACACGGACAGGTTCAGGGTCCGGCCCTGCAGGTCCCTCTTCTCCAGCTTGTACTGGTGGGGAGGGGACACGGGGTGAGATCAGCCACCCCCACCCACCCAGTCTGAACCTCCAAACCCACCCGAAGGGGGCTTAGAAACCTTGAGGGTTTCGTTGAAGACAGGATCCAAGCTCCTCTTCCTCACGGCGGTCTTGCGCTTGCTGCGGTTGGACTTGTCGGGCAGCAGGTAGGTCTTGATGTACCTGGGGCCAGAAACCGAGCTGGGGCGGGGGCCAGGGGCACCCCTGGGCAGCGCCCCCGAGGGCCGGGCACTCACGGGTCCGAGCGCTGCTTCTTGGCCTCGGCCAGCTGCCGGCAGCGCAGGACGTGCACCTGCAGCTCCTGCTGGGCCGCGTGGTAGCGCAGCGAGAACTGCACGCAGCCGCGCACGGCCACGCGGCCCAGCTCGGCCTCGCTGTACAGGCTCAGCAGGCTCCCGCTCAGCTGGGGACACAGCAGGGCTGCTGGGGGTGCCCAAAGACAGCCCAAACCAGCCCAAAGCCAGCCCTAAAACAGCCCAAACCAGCCCTAACCCAGCCCAAACCAGCCCAAAGCCAGCTCTAACCCAGCCCTTAAACAGCCCAAACCAGCCCTAACCCAGCCCAAACCAGCCCAAACCCAGCCCAAACCAGCCCAAAGCCAGCACAAACCCAGCCCTAAAACAGCCCAAACCAGCCCAAACCGGCACAAACCCAGCCCTAACCCAGCCCAAACCAGCACAAACCCAGCCAAACCCAGCCGAAACCCAGCCCTAACCCAGCCCAAACCCAGTCCAAACCCAGCACAAACCCAGCACAAACCCAGCACAAACCCAGTTCCAAACCCCAAACCCAGTCCAAACCCAGCCCCATTCCCACTCCCCCCAGAGCACCCCCAGCCCCCAGCCCACCTGCCCAGCGCTGTGGCTGCTGTGTGCTTCCTCCTCATCCTCATCCTCCTCCGTGCTGCACGGGCCGAGGGAGGGACCTCCTGTGTCACCTGCAAGGACAAGGGGTGGGTGGGGGTCGCAGCCAGCAGGGAGAGCAGGAGGGGGGTCCCTTGAAGGGCCGCAGTGGGGGCAGGGGGAGGCTGGGGAGCAGTGCAGGGGGGCTGCAGCCCCCGGACCCCCAGAGCCCCGACCCCACTCCGCTCACCTGGCTGCTCCCTCGCCGGGATGTCACCCTGCAGCCCGGGCTGTGACACCGGGGTCCCCTCCACGGCCGGGGCGGGGGGGCTGGGCTGGGAGGGAAAGGGTGAGAAGGGGACCCCGGGCACCCCCTGCTCCCCCAGCTGCGCCCCCCAGCCCAGCCCTCCGGGGACAGGATGAGGGATGGGGACACCCCAAGGACATTCTGTGGGACATTTCCCGTCACTCCCAGTGCAGCACAATCTTGGGGTGGCGCTGGGGGCGCTGCAGGTGAGCCCCCCCCCACCACCGGGGCTCAGGTGCTGCTCAGCCCCTGCCAGGGACCCACCTGGGGCTCAGTGGCCTCCGGCACCTCCTCTGGGGGGCAGCTGCGGGGAGAGACCACCGTCAGTTTGGCCCAGAGGGTGACAGGCAGAGCCAGGACGGTGGGAGACACTGGGGTAAGGGACAGACGGACAGACGGACACTGGGATAAGGGACAGACGCACACTGGGATAAGGGACAGACAGACAGACGGACACTGGGATAAGGGAAGGTGGACAGACAGGTGCTGGGGTGGTGGGAAGCAGTGGTGCATGGATGGTGGGAAGGCAGGCCCTGGAATGATGGACAGACGGACAGACGGACACCAGCCCTGACTGCGCCGTCCCCTCCCCCAGGGCTCCTGCCCCCCCCAGCCCCCTTGTGCCACCAGCCCCGGGACACCTGTGGGGTGACACCCTTCCTTCCTCACCTCTCGTCCGTCTCCAAGGCTCCATCCTCATCCTCATCCTCATCCTCATCCTCATCCTCATCCTCATCCTCCTCCTCCTCTGCCCGCGGCTCACTGATGGCTCCCAGGCTGGGGCCGCGCTCCAGCTCCCCGGGTCCTGGGGCACGGGGGGTCTCAGCGGGGCAGCCGCGGCGGGGGGGTGACCCCGACCCCGGGGGAGCACGGGACCCTCGGCCCGGCTGCTCTGTCCCCCGTGGGCCCCAGGGGAGCTGCTGGCGGCTCCCCGCTGTCCCCAGGGGTGACACGGGCAGGGACCCCCGGCCCACCTGACGCGGCCCTGCTCCCGCCGGCGGAGCTGCCGGTCGCGCTGCAGCACCCGGGCGATGCAGCCCCGCTCCTCGTCCGTCAGGAAGCTCAGGTCCAGCAGCGCCTCGGGCTGCAGCGCCATGCGGGGCGGCGGGGACGGCGCGGGGACAGCCCGCGGGGACAGCGCGGGGACAGCCCGGGGCTGCTCAGCGCGCCGGGCGTGCCCCCAGGCCCCTGGCGTACCCCGGGGCCGCGTCCTGCGGCGGATGGAGGCCCGGACCAGGTCGGAGCCCAGCGGGGGCTGGTGGCGCTGGGCCCGGGCGTGGCAGAACCAGTCCCCGGTGAGGCTCCGCAGCCGCGCCGGGTCCGACACCGACTGGCGGAGCTTGCTGCTGGGCGGGAGGGGACAGTGGCACGCCCAGGCTGGCACTGCCACCGCCCCTGTGCCACCGCCCCAGAGCCGCCCCAGCAGGGCAGGGGGACAGCAGCCACCGCTCCCGGGACCCCCGGGACCCCCGGGACCCCCGGTGTTGGTGTGACAAACCGAGGCTGAGCTCGGGGGGGTGACCCCGACCCCGGGGGAGCACGGGACCCTCGGCCCGGCTGCTCTGTCCCCCGTGGGCCCCAGGGGAGCTGCTGGCGGCTCCCCGCTGTCCCCAGGGGTGACACGGGCAGGGACCCCCGGCCCACCTGACGCGGCCCTGCTCCCGCCGGCGGAGCTGCCGGTCGCGCTGCAGCACCCGGGCGATGCAGCCCCGCTCCTCGTCCGTCAGGAAGCTCAGGTCCAGCAGCGCCTCGGGCTGCAGCGCCATGCGGGGCGGCGGGGACGGCGCGGGGACAGCCCGCGGGGACAGCGCGGGGACAGCCCGCGGGGACAGCGCGGGGACAGCCCGCGGGGACAGCGCGGGGACAGCCCGGGGCTGCTCAGCGTGCCGGGCGTGCACCAGCGATGCCAGCATCTGCAGAGTCACCCGGGGGCCGCTGGGGAGGGACCCCCCCGCTCATCCCGCTGCAAGGACAAGCGGGGGGAGCTCAGCCCGCACCCGCACCCTGAAACCCCCGCGACACCCCCGGGGACAAAGGAGCAGCGGGCCGGTGCCCAGGGTGCCAGGCGGGGCTCGGAGGCACCGGGCCGGTGCCCAGGCTGCCGGGGAAGGGCACAGGCAGCCCGAGGCCCCGCGCCGCCCCTCCCGCTGCCGGCTCCGTGCCAGGCCAGCCCTGCCCGCGGCCGCTGTTTGCTCAGCGTGTTTGCCCAGGGCTGGCTCTGCCCCTGCCGCTTTCCCAGCGATTCTCCGGCTGCCAGGGCACACGGACAGATGGCACAAGGGGCTTGGCTGTCCCCGCGATGGGCCGAGCCCGAGTCGGGCCGAACCCGTGCTCAGCTCACGGCACCTCCCAGAGGGGTCCTGGGGGTCTTGCCCCATGCCTGGCGCTGCCTCGCCAGGGCCCTTCCTGTCCCCGGTCTTGGGCAAGCGCTGCCTGCTGTCACCGAGGGCAGGAAATTGCAGCAGCCGTGGGGCAGGACCAGCCTGAACCCCCCCGGCACCCCAGAGCCAAGCCCTGGGGTGCCCCACCTCCACCAGCGGCCCCGTCCCCAGCCCCAAAGGTGACTCTGACCCCGCCCCACGCGTGGCCCTGTCCCAGCATGTCCCCAGCCCCTCGGAGGGTCCCGTCCCTGCCCCACAGGTGCCCCTGTCCCAGCCCCGCGGGTCCCCAACCCAGCCCAGCACCTGAGCACGGTGGGCGCCAACCCCGCAGCAAACCAGCCCAGGGACCCCCCCAGGGACACACAGGGACCCCCAGCACCCCCTGCCCCCCTCGGGGCAACCTGGGACACCCAGCAGCCCCCCGGCCCCGACATCGCCCTGGGAGAGGTCTCGGGGGGCACGAAGCGGCTCTCCTGGGGCTGGGAGGGTCTCGGGGGGCACGAACCGGCTCTCCTGGGGCTGGGAGGGGTCTCGGGGGGCACAAACCGGGTCCCCCCGGGCCGGGCCGATGCCGCCGCTGTCTCCCCGCCGCAGTCGCTCGTATCCTGTTTACTGCCGGCACACGGGGGGGTCCCCCCGCCCCGGAACAGAGCCACCACCTAAAAATGTCACCTAGGTGTGAGCCAGGCGCCGCTGCGGTGCCCCGTTCCCTGTGGGGTCCCCAAAACCGAGCCGAGGTGAAGCGCAGAGCCCCCCGGGGCGCACAGGGGTGCGGGCACCCGCCCCCCACCCACACCGGGACCAGTCAAACCAGTTAAACCTCCCCAGCAAGCCGCAGCTGGGGGTTGCGCGTCCCCCATTTTTCATTGCAGGCAGCCCCACAAGACGGAGGGGGGGAGTCCAGACGGCGTGAGACACCCCCCAGGCCCCCTCCCCAAACTGCACCCACAGGCAGCGCCCCCGGGTGACCCCCGCAGCCCCCAGGAGGGTCCCGGTGGCCTCGAGCCCAGCCCAGGGCTGTCCGGACACCCTCGCTCCCCCACCTCGCGGGTCTCAGACCCAGCGTGGGGACAGGGAAACCCACCCCGGAAAGGCGTGAGCCGCAGCCCCCAGCCCCGCTCCTCACGGGGAGGGGGCGTGCAGCCCCCCGAGGGGGGAGAGGAGCGGGGCCAGCCCCCCCCGGCACCGCAGCGGGCTCAGCCCCGCGCCCCCTCTTACCTGCCCAGCTGGGGGGTCTCCGTGGCTCGGCGCCTCCCGGTGGGTGAGTGCCCCCGGCCCGCCGGGTGCTGTGCCCCGTGCCCCGGCCCGGTGGGTGCTGTGCCCGGTGCCCCGGCCCGGTGGGTGCTGTGCCCCGTGCCCCGGCCCGGTGGGTGCTGTGCCCGGTGCCCCCGGCCCGGTGGGAGCTGTGCCCGGTGACTCAAGCGCAGCCCCGGCAGCGCCTCCGCGCCCGGCGGCACGAAAGCAGGGACTGGAGCCAGCAGCACCCGCCGGACGGGACTGAACTGGGCTGAACTGGGCTGAACTGGGCTGAACTGGGAGGCGTCAGCGCCTGGGAAGGGGTGGCGCAGAGGGGATGCGCCCCTTGGGGACTGGGGGACCCCAAGCCTGGCGGAGACTCGAAGCCAAGGGTGTGGAAAAGGGGGTGGGGGATGTCCCAGCTGGTGTCACACGGGGCTGGGGACAGGAGGTGGCTCTGGGGCTCCCGGGGGAGCGCCTGGGCTGCCCTGGGGGGACTGGTCTGTGCTGGGCACGGGGGAGCCCCTGCCGCACCCTGAAGCCCCCCACCCAAAGGCAGTGTGGAGCCCCGGTCCTGGGGCTTTGCAGGACCCCATCCCCAGGGTGCCCTCGGCTCCACAGCCCCCAGCCCATAATGCATTCCCAGCCCCCTCCTCAAACCTCCCATGCCCCCCATGGCTCCCGCAGCCCCCATTCCCTGTCCCACGGACACATCCAGCCCCCCGCCCCATCCCGCTCTGAAAGGCCGGGGGTCCTGTGCAGCCAGGACCACCCTGGGCACTCAGCCCCACGCAGGATGGGTTCAGCAGGGCCAGGCAGGGATAAACCCGGGGCAGGAGCAGCACAGCGGGACCCGTGCCTCAGTTTCCCTGAATAACAGAGGGAGAGCAGCCGGCTGGGGGTGGGGACAGGCTCCCCCCAGCTTCAGTGTGAGATGGCAGCAATTAACGGGCACAGGACTGCAAGAAAAGGGGATTATTTTTAGCCTGGTTTCTCAGGAAATGAGACTTCAGCAGCGGCTCCGCGTGTCTGTCTGTGGTCTCCCCTCCCTCTCCCCTTGCAGAGCTCGCTGCCCAGCTCTGCTGGGGGGTCCCAGAGGAGTGGGATCCCCCCAGTCCCAGGGGTGGCCTGGGAATGCAGGCAGGCCTCTGCAGAGGGACGAGGATGTGAGGCCACCTGAGTGCCCTCAGGGCTCCTCGTGGGCTGGGGGCTCAGCTCCGGCTCAGGTGGGCACCAAGCCCTTGCTGGGCACCCTTTGCTCCTGCAGCACCCAGGGTGAGGAGCACTTATGGGATGGAGAAGGGAGTGAAGAGAGGTGGGACACATCCTGCAGAGTGTCCCAGCCCATCCCTGGAGAAACAGAGGTGCAGCGAGTGTGCCGGGCCTCAGCCACAGCCTGGGGTGCTGGGGACAGAGGCTGGAGACACCCAGGGACACTTAGGGACACTCAGGGACACCCTGGGACACTCAGGGACACCCTCGGACACTCTGGGACACCCTTGGACACCCAGGGACACTCTGGGACACCCAGGAACATCCAGGAACACCCAGGGACACCCTGGCCAGCAGCACACCTGAGCCAGGTGCCAGGCCAGCCCTCGGGGATGGTTTTCCTTGCAGGCAGCCCTGGCACAGGCACAGGGCAGGTTTTTTCTCTCCTCGGCACCGCGTGGGCAGCCCCGAGCCAGAGCTGGCCAGGAGCGAGTCCCAGCCTGCTCCCAGCCCTGCTCCCAGTCTGCTTCCAGTCTGCTCCCATCCCTCCTCCCATCCCTGCTCCCATCCCTGCTCCCAGCCCTCCTCCCAGCCTCCTTCCCCTGCAGGACTCGCTCCTCAGGTCCGGGAGGTACAGGCAGGTCTGGTTCTCCTGGGGGGAGAAGAGGAAAAGAGGGGAGAGGAGAGGAGGAAAGGAGGGGAGTAGAGGAGGAAAGGAGGGGAGGAGAGGAGGAAAGGAGGGGAGCCGGGCGGAGGGGAGCAGGGCAGCCGGGCTCGCAGGGCAGCCTCTGCCCGGGCTCTGAGCGGCGCTGCCCGGCACGCCCGGCCCGGCTCTTCCCTCCCTGCAGTGACCCGAACCACGGGCTCATCCCGCTCATCCCGCTGATCCCCGGAGCTCCCGGCAGCAGGAGAGTGTTTGGGAAACCCTGCCAGGCTTGGCAGGCGGGGAGGGACCCCTGCGGTCCCGGGGGCTTTGCATCCTCCCCTCACCTTCCCGCAGATGTGCGCGGGATGAAGCCCCCGGAGCCGCCTGCCAGCCCGCGGGAGCTGAGCTCGCTCGCCGGCAGGGGCTGAGCAGGAGGATCCAGGTGGTTTTCCATGAAATGGCTGCACCGTGAAATCCCCTGGCCTCGGACACAGCCTAATTTTAAGGCTGATGTACTCCCTCCCCACAGCTCCAGCCTCTGGATGTCAGATGGAACAGAAAATCGGCGGCTGCATCTGCAGTCAGCAGGCACAGCTCTGCTCCCAGCCCAGGCAGCAGACCCTGCTGGGAGAGGGAAAATGAGTCTGGCTCTTTGCTTCTGGCAGCCCCAGGGCCAGCACAGGCGTCCCCTCCCCTGGGAAGGGAAAGGAGCTGGGAAAGCAGTGCCTCCCGGAAAAAAGGACACAGCACAGACAAAAGGGAAGCTGTTCACAGCTGAAGGGAATCAACCTTGGAAAAAAGCATCTCCCACCCCAGAACACTTGGCTGGCCCTACCCAGGCGTCGAGACCCGGCATTAAATCCCACAAACCCTTCCTGCACTGCAGGGATGGGGAATTCTCCTGCCCCCCAAACCTCCTCCCCAGCAGCAGGGCTGGGAGTTTTCCCTGGAGCAGGGAAAAGGGCTCCAGGATGAGTTCATAAAGCCAAAGGTGTGGGAGCCTGAGGGTCCGTCTCCTTTGGGCAGGAGAGGGGCCAGGGCTCAGTGGGACAGGGAGATCCCGATCCCAGCCCCGCTCTGGGCCGAGGGCTGGGAGGAGGGAGGAGATACAGCACTCCCAGATATCCACAGAAATCAGTTTATTTCCCTGCCGTCGGGATTATGAAACCACAGAAGCAGAGTTTAAATATTTACAAAGAAATCCAGCGCCCCGCAGAGATGAAGGGAACAAAGGATGAGGGATGGGGGCTCGCCCTCGCCATTCCAAACTCCGCTCTGTAAAAAGCATCAGGAGCAAACGAGAGGGAATTTCACAGTGGGGTTTTGGAAGTCCAGGGGCCCCCTGACACCCCCAAGCCTCAGCTTTGGCAATTCTTGCAGAGCTCGTGGATAAAACAAGGGCGGGCTGGGCGGAGGGGCTCGCGGTTATTGCTGAGGGTGGGTCCAGCCCCGGGCCGGCACTCCAAGGGATCGCTCTGAAATCACACCAGGGAAAGCACTCCCCTCTCCCGGGCGGAGAGCAGAGCTCGGAACGCCCCGGCCCTTCACCGGGCTCTGCTCGGGGTCCCGGAGCTCTCCGTGCCCTGCCCCGCACTCGGAAGGGAGCGCGGCACAGAGCAGCCCCGCAGCGCCCCAGGCTGCGGGAACGCCGCGACACAGAGGGACAACAACGAGCACAGCGTGAGAGGGCTGCTGCAACAGTGACCGAGGAAAAGGGAAAACACAGAAACGAGCTCAAGGGGAGGCTCCGACCCTCCCACATGGCTGGAAGTGGCAGAGGCACATGGGGAGGGGTCTGAAAACCAGCGAGCTGACAGTGAGGGGGTTCCACAGTCAGAGGAAGCTGCAGGCATGGCAGGGACCCCAGAAAAGCTTTCGTGCTGGCCACAAGCACTCCCTGAAATGGATTCCTTGGAACCCATCAGGTACTGGAGTCAAGGTGTGAGTGGAAAAGCTCTTCTGCCCCCTCTGCAGCCAGCAGGGACCTGCCCAGCTGCACAGGACCCTGCAGCCAGGCTGGGGTTTAAAACTCAGAGCCCTCCAAAATCAGCACCTGCAGAGCAGACCCAGTGGCAGAAGGGGTTCCAGCTCACATCCAAACTCCCTTCCTGCCTGGCACCCAGGTTCAGCCCCCCTGGGCCCATCCTGCCCGAGCTGTGCTCCTCACACCAATCCCTGCACAGCACCTGTGCCCAGGTGTGCTCTCCAAAGCTCCCTAAACATTCCCAGTCACCACCCAGGAACTGCCCCAGTTTGCTGCTGCAAAGCCCAGCCAGACAGGCACCTTCCAGTGCCTCCCCTCCCCAGCTCCAGGCTCAGGTGCTGCTCCCACTGAGGATTTGCAGCCCCAGGCTCAGGCTCTCTGCCCCAGCTGCTGCCTGCTGGGAGCAGGGGGATCAAAGGGGAACGAGTGGCTTGTGAGGACTGCAGAGCCAGATTTAGCAACAGAGAGCCCAGGGAGAAGCAGGGAAGTGATATTTTCTCTGGCACAAGCTGAAAGGGACGAAGGGCTGCCTCCTGAAGGGTGCACCCTGCCATGAGCTGTTCCCTAGCCAGCCCTTCAGCTTCCCTGCCTTCCCAGGCCCAGCAGCAGGAGCAGGGCAGCTGGCCCTGCCATGGAGTGTCCCTCAGGAGTGTCCCACACACCTCCTGCCACTGAGTGCTGGGCACCCCACCCTCCCAGAAGAGCCCCACACCTCCCCTCTGGAATGTGTGCTGCTGGAGAAATGTGCCACAGGGAAAACTGCAGCTCCTAACGGGAGAGCCAGGGAATGTGAGGAAGCATCTGGTGAAGAGGAGGAAGCAGCTGACCAGAGAGACCCTCCCAAGGTGCATCTGCTGTGCCACTGCAGGAGGCAGAGCTTGCCCTGAGGCTTCTCCTGGCACTGAAAGCAAAGGTGCCCACCCCTCTCCTTTCCTGCTCCCAGCCCCACCTCCCCAGCTGCAGAAAGGGAGAGGACAGAAGCTTCCAGACCCCTGACACTGGGAGACACCATCGACAGAACAGAAACAGGAGGAAAAGAAGCCAGCTCCAGGAGAGGAAGATGAGCTGTCACGATGGAGTGGGGCTGCCACCTTCCCTGGAAGAGGCTCCCAGAGTGCCACGCCTCCATCCTGCTGGATCAGTCACAGTTTCTTCCTTTGTGTGCTCAGGCACTGGGGGGTCAGGGCTGCCATCACCGCAGGTGCAGGGTGAGAACCACGGTCACAATCACCCCCAGGAAGAGGACAAAGGGCAGCCAGGTCTTCACAAACCCCCCTATGCTGCAGGAGGGAAAGGGGGGAAGGTTTAAATGTGAGAAACCAGCAGAGACAAAAGGATGGGAGAACAACTGGAGAAATCAGAGAGAGACAGATGCCTGACTGCTACCTGCTGCTGGCACTGCCACACACCCCATCCTGGAAATCTGGTGTTAAAAACTGAGACTCAGCCAGGACCACAATAAATATATAACCAACAACAGGGCTGGAGTCTCCTTCCAGCTTAAATTAAGTCAAAGACAAGCCCATTTCATCCCTGCACAGACAGGAATGGTGACATTTCAAAAAATGAAACCCCATTATCACAGGGCTTGTTGTTCTGACTGCTGGTGGATTTAAGCAAGACAGCTGGAGCTATCCTTGCCCAAAAGCAGGCAAAGAAGCTCTTCCAGGACAGGGAAGACCACAGAAGTGGAGCTTCATGAGCCTTTCCTTAAGGGCAGCTCGGGGTTTCCCTCCCCACTGCAGTGGGAAGCTCCACAGCAGCTGGAAATCAGACCAGTTTTTATGTAAACAAGACTCAAGAGAGGGAGGGAAACCAGTAATCCTTGGAGAGAAGCCATCCTGTGACCTTATGTTCTGACCTAACCCAGCCAGAGTGAGACTTGCTTTAGCCAGCATTTCCCAAATTCCAGGCACTCCAAATCAGCAGCCAGAAACAGGATTTTGGGAGCAGCATCCAGGGCAGCCCAGCAAGCACTCCTGCTTCTCTTGCTGAGCACAGGCAGTGACAGCACCACCCACAGCAACACACCCACGGCCTGGGGATGTTTCTCCCTTCTCCACGGGCCAGGTGAGGCTTCAGAGGGTCAGGAGAAGGAAAGAGCCCCCTGTGCTGCAGAACCCAGGCTGTCCCTCAGCTCACCTGACGTATTTCCCATAGAGGAGTGTGAAGAAGCACAGTTTCACCATGTTCCAGGAGGTGCTGTTGTCGTATCTCATCAAGTTTAAGGCCAGAGCCACGTGGGAATGGCAGTTGTCACAGCAAAGGTTGTGCTGGAACACAAAAAGGGATTAGAAATCCTGCCCCTGAGGTTTCCCAGCTCTCACCCCCGTGCAAGCAGCCAAATACTGGGGAGGGATCCCTTCCAACCACTGCAGAGACAGGGAATCGTGGAATGCTTTGGGTTGGATGGACTGGGAAGCTCCTTGCTCCAAGCTGGCCTTGCACACTTCCAGGGATGGAGTATCCAGAATCCCTTGGGAACTCCCTGGAGCCTCTGGGGGAGCCTCCCTCCCTCCCAGGCACTGGGCAGGGCAGAGCAGAGCAGAGCTGGGCAGGGCAGGGCAGGGCAGGGCTGTACCATGCGGTGCTTGTACTCCTCGGAGGCGTCGTGCACGGCCGTGTCCCAGGCGTTGGGGCCAGTGGCACAGACTTTGCTGGGATCCAGCTTCCAGTACCTAGGAGGATGAGAACAGTTCCCTTGGCATTGTTCTGCTGCTGCAGCTCCCCCAGGGCTTGCTCCTCCCAGCAGGAAGGTGGTGGAATCACAGCCTCAAAGGAGCCACGAGGATCATCGAGTCCAGCCCCTGGCCCTGCACACACCTAAAGCACTTGGATTAATCCAGTGCCTCTGGAACACAGAGCCCAGCTCCCAGAGACAAGCAGGGGCAGCAGAAAGGCTGCTCAGCACCCCAGACAGAAATCACAGAGCTCAGGGGACAGCCTGAGCTGCTCCACATCCCCAAGGAACCCCCAGCCATCCTGAAGACAAAGCTGACCTGGGGACACAAAGCCAGCCCCTTGTCCTGCCCCAGCAGTGACAGGATGGCAGTGACCTCAGCTCAGCAGCACAGCCAGGCAGTGTTTACTCAGAGCACTTGTTAACAACATCCTACAACAGTTTAGCCTTCTCTTTTCCTTTTCTCTAACAAAGCTCTGCTTATTAACACCACCACGTTGCTGTCATGCTGCTAAAAAGATTTAATTTAACATGGTTTCCTGAAAAGCAAGGTGAATGAGGGCAGCTGAGCACCAGGAAAAGCAGTGTCCCAGCATCTGTCCCCAGGAGCTGCAGGGTGCTCAGTTTAATACAAATATGCAGCACTTACTTCACAGGTTTCCCAAAGGCCATGTTGTCTTCCTACAAAAGAGGAGAGCTGTCTCAGGAGGCTGAAGGCAATATCCAGGGATGGGTGGTGCTGGGTTAGGATCCCACTGTCCCCATTCTCCTGCTCTGGGCACGGGCACCTCTACACCCCACACACAGTGACATCACTCACCTACAAGTGCCCTGCTCCCCTCCCTTTTTTTTTTTTTTTTTAAGTGTTAATATTTTGTTAACTCTTGGTTGTGAACGCCCCAGTCAATTAGGAGCATTAATTATCCCAAATTAAAACTGTCTTTACTTTCAGAATCCCCTGGACCCTCAGCAGCACACACCTGATGCTGAGCAGCACGACACAAACAACCACAGCTGAAGGCACTAACGCTACTCAGAACTAAGAGGATTTAACTCCTAATTTAGAGCCTGGAACACACGATTTTCTCCCCCTTGTCCTCACCAAACTCATCAGCCCCCAGATGAGCTGCGGTGGAGCCCAGAGGGGCCCTGAAGGAGCTGTGTGAGCAGGGAAGGGCTGCTGGGGTACTCACGGACACGAAGTAGGGCCCCGCGAAGTCGCGGATGACGCCGGCCGAGGTGCAGATGCCCATGTGGCCGATGATGGGGAACAGCCACCTGCGAGGGAAGGGACCCGTCAGGGGACACCCGGCCCCGCTCCCCGCACGGGGACACGGCACCAGGCGGGGGCTGGAGAGCACCAGGGCACAGGGACAGCACCCAGGGAGCAGCAACAGCCCCGGCGGCAGCAGCTGGGAGGGAACCGCGCACCCCAGAGAGCCCTGAACCCTAAAGAGCCTGCACCCCAAATGCCCTGCACCCCAGAGAGCCCTGCATCCCAAATGCCCTGAACCCTAAAGAGCCTGCACCCCAAATGCCCTGCACCCCAGAGAGCCTGCACCCCAAAGTGCCCTGAACCCTAAAGAACCCTGCACCCTAAAGAGCCCTGCACCCCAAAGTGTCCTGAACCCTAAAGAGCCCTGCACCCTAAAGAACCCTGCACCCTAAAGAGCCCTGCACCCCAAAGTGTCCTGAACCCTAAAGAGCCCTGCACCCTAAAAAGCCCTGTAACCCAAAGAACCCTGAACCCCAAGGAGCCCTGGGCAGGGCAGGGCAGGGCAGGCAGGAGGAGCCCCAGGTGCCAGACAAACCCCCGTGTGCAGCCAAGCACAAAGATCAGATCCTGCAGGCACTGCCTGGGCACAAAACCAGACTTTCCACTCCAGCAACCAAAAACCAGGTCGCCCTGCCCACCTTGCCAGCTCTCCTGACAGAAAACAGAGCTCCTGGCTCTGGGAAGAGCACTGCCCCCTCTAAAAGATCCCACTGTTCCACAGACCTTCTCCCTGCTGGGTGTTTACAGCCCCAGGGAGCAGCAGGCCTGTATCCCAACCCCTTCCATCACCAGATCTACATCCCAAACCCTTCCATCACCAAATCTACATCCCAACCCCTTCCATCACCAAATCTACATCCCAAACCCTTCCATCACCAAATCTACATCCCAAACCCCTTCCCTTTCCTCCAGACCCATATCCCAATCACCAGATCTACATCTCCCCCATTTCCCTCTCCTCCCTCCCCGAGGGACTCAGTGCCTCTGGCAGCTCCCTTCAGCACTCCCAGCTGGGTTAGGAATGTTAAAAAAGCTCGGGAAAATCCTGCGGGAAAAGGCTGAGGTGACAATTTGAAGCAATCAAAAAATAAAAGAGGTAAAAAGGACAGAAGAGGAGGGGCAGTGCAGCCCGTGCCCGGGCCGTTCCCATCCCAACCACATCTTGTTCCTGACCGGAGCCCGGCCCAGCAAACACCACCTGACGGGAACCGGGACCGGAGCTGGAAACAGCCTGGCCGTGCCCAGGCAGCCCCGCAGCCTGCCCCGAGCCCTCCGGGAGCTGCCCGCGCCCGGCTGCCGGGCCCGGGAACGCAAAGCCAGCCCGGGGGTGCCAAGGAGCCGGGACTGCCCCGGGAACGGGACTGCCTTGGAACCGGGACTGCCCCGGGAACGGGACCGCCCCGGGAACGGGACCGCCCCGGGAACGGGACTGCCCCGGAACCAGGACTGCCCTGGGAACCGAGACTGCCCCGGGAACGGGACCGCCCCGGGAACGGGACCGCCCCGGGAACGGGACTGCCCCGGAACCAGGACTGCCCTGGGAACCGAGACTGCCCCGGGAACGGGACCGCCCCGGGAACGGGACTGCCCCGGAACCAGGACTGCCCTGGGAACCGAGACTGCCCCGGGAACGGGACCGCCCCGGGAACGGGACTGCTCCGGGAACGGGACTGCCCCGGAACCAGGACTGCCCTGGGAACCGGGACTGCCCCGGGAACCGAGACTGCCCCGGAACCGAGACTGCTCCGGGAACCGGGACTGCCCCGGAACCGAGACTGCTCCGGGAACGGGACTGCTCCGGAACCGGGACTGCTCCAGGAACCGAGACTGCTCCGGGAACCGGGACTGCTCCGGAACCGGGACTGCCCCGGGAACCGGGACTGCCCCGGAACCGGGACTGCCCCGGAACCGAGACCGCCCCGGGGCACGGGCTGCGCTCAGACCCCGCCGCCAAACCGGCGCTCCAAGCACGCTTCCCGCGTTCCCCGGATGCTCCGCTCCGCCGGGACCCGTTGGGCACGGGGCCTTCCCGCACTGCCAGTGCCGCCAGAACGAGCCCGAGCCGGGCCGGGGTCCCCAGCACCCCGGGAAGGGCAACGGGACCGGGAGGGGCTCGGGGGGCAGCCGGGAGAAGGTCCCGGGAGGGGCTCGGGGGCCCGGGAGACGCGCGGGGCTCCCGGCACCGGTGAGGGGAGGCCCCGGGGGAGGCCAGGGGGTCCCGGGGGTCCCGTCCCGGGCCCGGCCCCGCCCGCCCCGGAGCGGCCCCGGCGCCTCGCTCACGTCAGCACGGGGATCGGGGTCCACACCACGCAGTGCGGGAAGCGGCCGCGCTCCGCGTCCGGCGCGCCGCCGCCGCCGCCATTGAACTGCTTCATGCCGGGCTCCGCCGCCGCCATGCCCGGGGCGCGCCCGCAGCGCGTCACTTCCGGCGGGCCGCGCGCGCTTCCGGTACCGGGGAACCGGAGCGGGCCCGGGCCGGGAACGGGACAGGGCCGGGAACGGGAACTGGAAAGGGAATGGGAACGGGCCAGGATCGGGAATGAGAACGGGAACGGGCCCAGGCCCCAGGAGCAGAGCCCAGGCCCGGGCCTGGACCCCCGGGCTGGCCCCAGGGCCAGGAGCTGGAGGAGCCCCTGGAGCCCCCCAGGAGCAGAAATAATCACCAATAATCACAAATAATCAGCAATAATCCCAAATAATCACCAATAATCACAAATAATCACCAATAATCATCAATAATCAGCAATAGTCATCTCACGGAGCCTCCCGGGACGGGGAGGAACTGCCAGAGCAGCAACAGCAGAGGGAAAGCAGAGGGTTAGAAAAACAACAATTGCTTTATTAGGAATTAAATTCCAGCTCCGGGAGGAGCTGGAGAAATGCGTTTATTGCCGATTTCCAGCCAGCACAACCCCCGGGCACAGAGAGACCCGCGGGGCTGGGGAGCCCCGGGAGCTGCCCGTGCCCCCCGGCAGCCCTGCATCCTCCCCGTTTTCCTGGGAAACCGCCGATTTCCTGCTCAGCCAGGGGCTGCAGCCGCGGCACGGAGCTGCCGGGGCTCGGGAGAGCTGTGGAGTCCCTGCTGCGCCTGGGCCTCGCAAGGAAAACAAACTCCCCTGGCCTGGCAAGGAAAACAAACTCCTGGCCTGGCAAGGAAAACAAACTCCTGGCCTGGCAAGGAAAACAAACTCCTGGCCTGGCAAGGAAAACAAACTCCTGGCCTGGCAAGGAAAACAAACTCCCCTGGCCTGGCGATGCACACCAACTCCCTGGCCTGGCGATGCACACCAACTCCCTGGCCCCTTCCTGCTCGTGGCACAGAGGCAGAGCCCAGGGTGTCGGGGGCCTGACAAACCCCTCTCCCAGCCCTCCTGACAAACTCACAGCTCCCACTCTTTACCAGCGCTCCCCTCCTCCGTTCTGCCTGCCTGTCCCCGCTGTGGGGCTGAGTCTGGGGGTGTGTGTGCCAGGAGAGCAGAGCTTTGCTCCCCCGAGCCCCCAGGGGTGACCTCTGCCCGTCCCGGGCAGCAGAAAACGTCACTCGAGTTTCCTGGGGGGTGGCCTCTCCCTCCTCAAGGCACAGCAGCTCCCCTTGAGCACTCAGCTCTCTGATGGAAAGGAATCCACAAAATATTCCGTCTCCAAAAGAGAGGAAGCTGAGGAATCAAAGGCTGGAGAGCCAGGCCGTGGCTGGTGCTTTGGCTTCTGCCTTCCTCTTCCAGGACAAAGAGTACTGGGTACAAACTGAAAGGGGAAATGAGATTGGGTAAGAGGAATAAATCCCTCCCTGGGAGGGTGTGAGGCCCTGGCACAGGTGCCCGGAGCAGCTGTGGGTGCCCCTGGATCCCTGGCAGTGCCCAGGGCCAGGCTGGGCAGGGCTTGGGGACACCTGGGGCAGGGGAAGTGTCCCTGCCTGGCAGGGCTGCAGTGAGGAGCTCTTTGAGGTCCCTTCCAAGCCTTACCACTCTGTGGCTCCCTCCTGGCACTCAGGAGTGGGAGATGCACACAAAGGTTGTGTTTCAGCGAACACTTTTTGTTCCACGAATAAAAAAAAAAAAAAAAACAAACCAAAACCCTGGCATTGATTTGCTGCAGGCCAACATAAATATCAGAGATTGTGAAAAAGCCACAGCTGAGGGCTCCCAGCAGCTGACGTGGTCCTGGCACGCTGGGCGGATGAGGCAATGGATTTGCTGGTGCTGCTCGTGGCTGGGAGGCTGCTCAGCAGGATATCGCCGGGGACAGCTCCGGCAGCTCCGGGCGTCCCGCAGTGCCGCCGGGGCACCGGGCACCGGGCATGGGCACGGGCACCGGGCACGGGCAGCCCGCGCTCCTCCTCGTGAGCCCAGCGCGGGAGGCAAACCCCGCAGCTCGGGGAGAGCACAGCTTTCCCCAGGCTGGATTAAAAAAAAAATAATAAATTATAATTAAACCCCAAATCAATGGAGCGCTGGTTTGCTGTGCAGCCCTTTGTGTCTGCCCGGGAAGCACAAGGGCTCTCCAGCCCGGCTGAGCTGGAGCTGACAGCAGGGTCTTCCTAGTGACAACTGCAAAGCTGCTGCTGTTGTGCTGCTATTGATCTAAGCAGAATACAAAACACCTGAAGTCAGCAGGGAAAAATAGCTGCAGTTGGAAAAGGAGCGGTGGGGGGAGGACAGGGAGGGGAGGGCAGGTAAGAACTTCTCCATGCATAAAATTAAAGGCCAGGGTTTTATTGCAGCTCTCCTGCCTGACTACAGCACCGGATCGATGTGCAGAGCAGGAATGGTGCCATCATTGTTTGTGCAAGCTCTCATTTGAGCAGAAACAAAAGGCTTTGCCCGGGACTCGCCACCGACGGCTCCTCTGCCTGCCCTCCAGACGGCGGGGCCGTGTCCCTGCTCCCGGCGGTGCCAGCGGGCTCCCGGCGGCCCGGAGCCTTGCTCGGGGCATGGAGCGCTGTGTTTGGCCCGGCCCGGCCCGGCCCGGCTCGGGGCTCTCCGCCTGCCGGGCTGGCTCGGGGCAGCGCCGGGAGCAGCGGGCACAGACAAAACCGCTTCCCTGGGAGCCCTCGCTGCGGCGGCAGCGCCAGCCTCGGGGAGGGACGGCCAGGGCCAGAGCCAGGGCCAGAGACAGGGCCAGACCAGAGCCAGACCAGGGCCAGGGCCAGGGCCAGAGCCAGGGCCAGACCAGAGCCAGGGCCAGACCAGGGCCAGGGCCAGAGCAGAGCCAGAGCCAGAGCAGAGCCAGGGCCAGACCAGGGCCAGAGCAGAGCCAGAGCAGAGCCAGGGCCAGACCAGGGCCAGGGCCAGAGCCAGGGCCAGAGACAGGGCCAGACCAGAGCCAGACCAGGGCCAGGGCCAGGGCCAGAGCCAGGGCCAGACCAGAGCCAGGGCCAGAGCCCCCCGGAGGAGAGAGCTCCCCTCCCCTCCCTGACACGGGCAGCCGGAGCTGCAGCGAAATGTCACCGCGGCTCGGCTGCTGGAGGACACAGCCGCGTCCCCCGGCCGCAGGGGAGCTTCCCTGGGAGCCCTCGCTGCGGCGGCAGCGCCAGCCTCGGGGAGGGACGGCCAGGGCCAGGGCCAGGGCCAGAACCAGACCAGAGCCAGGGCCAGGGCCGGGCCAGGGCCAGACCAGAGCCAGACCAGGGCCAGGGCCAGGGCCAGAGCCAGGGCCAGAACCAGACCAGAGCCAGGGCCAGGGCCAGACCAGAGCCAGACCAGGGCCAGGGCTAGATCAGAGCCAGAGCGCCCCGGAGGAGAGAGCTCCCCTCCCCTGCCTGACACGGGCAGCCGGAGCTGCAGGGAAATGTCACCGCGGCTCGGCTGCTGGAGGACACAGCCCGCATCCCCCGGCCGCAGGGGAGCCTGAGCTGGGCCGGGCTGGGCTGGGCTGGGCTGGGCTGAGCTGGGCTGGGCTGGGCTGGGATGAGCTGGGCTGGGATGAGATGAGCTGGGCTGGGCTGGGCTGAGCTGAGCTGGGCTGGGATGAGCTGAGCTGGGCTGGGCTGGGCTGGGCTGAGCTGAGCTGGGCCGGGCTGGGCTGGGCTGGGATGGGATGAGCTGGGCTGGGCTGGGCTGTTCCCCTGCTCTGGTCTCGGTCTTTGCTGTTCCCCTACTCTGGGCTGTTCCCTGGCTCTGGGCTGTGCTGTTCCTGATCTGGTGTTTGGTCTCTGCTCTGCGCAGCCCGAGAGCCTCTCGTGTCCCAGTGTGAGCCCAAACGTCCCTCGGGGCTCTGCTGGTGCCACTCACCCCCCACGGGACACGCCAGGCTCAGCCACCCTCCCCAGAAGTGGCCCTGAGCCACCCCAGCCCTGGGGCTTTTCTGTCGCTGGCAGCTGCGTTCCCTGGTCCCTCTCCCTGTCCCAGTCCGGGGCAGCGTCCCCGGCTGAAGGAACAGCCACCGCTTTCCCAGGGACCCGGGGCAGCCTGGAAGCGCTCCCAGAGCTGGCTGTGGCGACTGCTCAGCCATGAAATCCAGGACAAACCCAGCTGCCCTCCAGGCCAGCCCGAAGGGGTCCCCGGTGGTCTCCTGTGCGCAGGGCGAGGCGGAGCAGCCACGGGGCTGAGCTCCTGCACCCACAGCAGGCACATTCCCACAGCCTGCTCCCGTTTTGCTCACTCGCAGGACCCATCTTGAGCCCTCTGCAGTTTTGTCGCTGGCACTGCCAACAGTTCCATCAGAGAAAAGTGAATTTGTCAGTCAGGCTGCAAATATGTTCCTCCCCCCACATCCCAGAGCATATCCCTCCTCTGCCTCCTCAACCCAATCCTCTCGTCCAAATGACAAATAAAACTAATTTTCTGGGTCCTTCTACCCATTTCCACCCACAATTCAAACACTCAGCTTCCAACCACTCACTCCAAGAGCTGACCCAATTAGCTGATTGCCAATTCCAGCTATGGATGCTCATTGCTTTGTTACAGCAGAGCTGCCTTTTAAAGCAATAATTTATATCAGACAGGATTTGAAATGAAGAGGCCTCAAAAGACCTTCGGCTGAAAGGTGTCCAACAGGAATTTTAAGAGAAGAGTTCAAATGGATTCTGAGAATAACAGCCTGGTTTTCTAACCCTCCCTTAAGGCCTGCAGACTGGAGAGCAAGGAGATACTTGGGAGGTTTTGCAGCAGGAATCCGGAGGAAAAAGTGAGTTTATGAAATCCTTCAGCAGAGGAACATCTCTGGGTGCAGAGGCTGGTGATGGGCGCTCCATGCGAGGCAGGAAGGCGCTGTGATCAGGGTGGGCTGGGGAGCCCTGAGCCTCCCCTTGCCCGGGGGTCCGCAGGGCCCTGGGAAGGGCGGCTCGGGGCTGGGCTCTGCCCCAGCCCGCAGGTCAGGGTGGGCTGGGGGGCAGCTCTGAGCCTCCCCTTGCCCCGGGGGTCCGCAGGGCCCTCCCCAGGCTTTCAGAGCTCTGCTGTCTCTGAGCAGGACCCTCGGGCA